AGCTGGAATCCTGGAATGCAAGTAAGCAAAGGTAGCAACTAATGTTTTTTTCCCCCCTGTGTCTTTTGCTCTGGGTAATCTGTCTGAAAAAACTGAATGGCTATCCATAAAGAAAGTGCAGTACCTGCAACCATCTTGATTTGCTTGCACATTCTGTACTCTTTTGAGTTGTGCAGCACCGGAGGCTGTTTATAAAGCAATTGCCTACCTAGGTAGTTTTTAAAGTGATGCGTGGTTAGAGCCCTTTGCTTTTGTTTAGAAATGTGCCTAACTAATTAGGAAAAACAATCACTCAAAAGGTAAACTGGAATAATAGAAATCATTAGAGGGAATAAAGATTTGGGGAACCATTTCATCACCTTGTCTCTTTAGTGCATGTTTTATGGCTGGTTCTGGCATCTGTTTTGCAAACAGGCAACAACTTCCCAAGGAGGCCATTTTATGACAAGACCTATAACATGCTCTTTAAAAAAACACAGGCAGCCGCAGCTCAAATATTTTACTCCCAGACTTGTAGCTAGGGGTGGTGTATAGGGACTAGCTCCCAACTTTTTCTGGTGACCTTAATTCCACTTTGTCCTAAAAAGATGAGATAAATGAACTTTACATTTTTTAGGCTTTCTGCGGGCTTACCACATACCCGTTCTAAATTATTTAATACTAGGATTCAATAACAGTTGGCTTCAAAGACAAAAACAAAAAAAGTTTGGGGGGAGACAAGCACAAAAAGTTACTCATACAGGTAGTCTTCGTTTATAAACTCCTGTTTAGCAATTATGCAATTTCTCCAAAACAGATGTGTCCATTCCTAACATTGTGTGTAGCCTGTATGATACCTATAATTCTAGGAATACAGGTTGGTTTTCAGTTAGGGTTGTCTTGCTAGGACTCCTGATGTCCAATAGATGGCAGCAAAGAGCCTCTCCTCTCTCAATTAGGTTTAGTTGAAAATGAGTGGCTAGAATCTCCATCTAGAATACCATTAATCACAGCTCCATCTCATTATTCTACCAGCACTCAAATGAACAGCATTCTTAAATGTGGTGTAATGAGTTTATTTGAAATATTTTGGACTCCATTTTAATATTCTTAAGAGGGAGATTTTGTTCATGGAAATATGCACATTTCACTTGTTTCGTAATAGGGTAAAACAGCCTAAAAAGCTTCAGCAGGCCGCCTCTTCATTCTGCTAAGTGAAGCCTTCAATTTCTGTTCTAATGTGCTGATTGACAACATCTTACAAGATAAAGATTTCTTACAATAAAGCTCAATTTCTCATGACTTCGGGGACTCATACATGGACCTTTCTTGGCAACAATACAGAAATGGCATCCTATTCAGTTTTTGGATTACCACCACCACCACCACGTTTCTAGCTCTCTCCCCTAACAATTCACATTACCACATCTGTCTATTCTTTCAGACCTGCAACCATGTTAAGTGAAAACCTCATTTATTGATTTGCATAGCTTACATTTAATTAAGGTTGCAGTTTTACTCTAGGCAATACAAGAACAGATCACTTCAAGCACACAGCTCTATGCACCTGGCACATACCAATAGATGAGGTTGCTTGTCATTGGAAAGCTATGAAAAAAATTCCGGGAAGGTTGACTTCTCATACAAAGGCAGTCTGTTTCTTGACTGGATTTTCAAGATATATGATGCATTTCTTTTCCCTAAAGATAGCTCACAACAAATTGGTAACATGCAGAATCAAGCTTCAACTATCTGTGCATAATTTCCAGTAAGGTTTAACTAATTAATTTTCTGCCTTACCTTTTAAAAAAAAAATCATAGTTAGGATATTCTGAATCTTCACATTTTATCTTAGATAAAGGAGGCAAATTAGTTTTCCCCCCCTGGCATTCCTTAATTAACATCAACCGCTAGGTGGCAACAAGATGTAACAGAGAACTTAATTAGTAAACGTTTTAGGAAGAGAAAAAGTGGATTAAGAGGCTCTGATAGAAGGTAAAAGCATATGCAGTCCTTTCATGGTGTTTCCAGTCTCTAGTGACATCTGCTTCTTGAAGTCTATAAGAAATGTCTGGTAAGTAAAAATGCCTTTGAATCAAGGTTGGCTCCTGGTAATTTTCATCATCTGGTCTAGGCAATTTTCCTGCTGTGATAAGTGTTTCGTCATTGGGAGGTGACAGAGAGGATCTAGACACATGTAAAATGGTGGCCCATTCTACTTTCCCCCTAAAAACCAAGGTGATATGGTTACAGTTTTGTGGTTCCACCCAGCCTCCTTCACCACAGTTTATGGATGGCCCAATTATGATTTGTATATCAACCCACTTGTCCCGATGCCCCCGCTGCACTCAGCTAAGATCCAACTGAGACAGTCCAAGGGCTGCATGCTGAAAGTGGTTGGTGTTTCTCTTAATATCCTGCCTTAAAGACACCATGTCCAATCCCAAGATAATCGTATACAGGCAATGTAGGGATCACTGAGGTGCATCAAGGAAGCAAATTGAAAGGACAGGCTTTCGGTTGGAATCATTTCAATTAGATCTGTCCTGTTTCCTGTGAAACCATTCCCTCAAGTCTGCTTCCTGTCTTCTTTGCCTCCCTTCAAATCCTCTTACGGCTACAAGGGAGATCAGAATTCCAGCTATACCACAGCCACTTTTCATGTCTTAAAACTGTTTGGCAACTCACCTGGAATGTGAAGCCTTAAAATTGAATAGCCCTTCCTGACTTAATACATGTAATTCAAGATGTAATTGAAAGGCCTCTACTCGTGTAGTTCCACAGCCTGTCTTGATTGGGAATTCTCTTCCCAACGGCCAAGATAGACCTTCCTTGCTGACAACTTGTTCAACAACCGTTCAAAATTATGGGGGTGCTGAAAAATTAGACAATAGTCACAAACTTGCAGCTATCACAATGTTCCAAGATCACATGATCACCATTTGCGACCTTCATAGCCAACTTCCAAGAATCAATGGGGAAGCTGGCAGGAATTTGCAAATCAAAGGTACATGACATCATGCTTAAAGACTCAGGGTGATTCACTTAATGACTGCAACCCGAATTGATCTCATAACAATGTTACATGACATAACAACCTTACCATTTAGTAATGAAATTGCCAGTCATTATTGAGGACCACGAGTATTGCTCCCAGAGAAACTCTGTTTTCTTGTTTCTTCTCATGCTACCTTCTTAGTGTAGTTTACAGTGTCACCTCAATCCTCTCTCAATTTCCAGCTGTCCAGTTATTCACTGGCTGCATTTCAGTTGCACACATCCAGACAATCAGTAGGTGGCAGTGAAGATTTATAAAAGCTAACCCTTTGCAGCCACCTGGTGGTTATGAAGTTAACGGGTCAACCTGCAGTTTCAAGGATTTTAGAAAAAGTCCATCAGTACAACAATAAGAAGAACCATGACCTGGATGACTGAGAATCTCCATAGACAAGAAAGAAAGAAGTAAAAGAAAAGCATGGAGTAACCAAGACATTGTGTGTGCATCTATGAAGGAGCCTCTAAATATACTAAAGCAGCTAAATGACATTAGAAGGGGCTGGAAATTCAGTCATGGCTCTTTGAATGCTGTGCATGCATCTATAATCTGGGTAGCCAGATTTATGGTGGTGCAACAGGAAGGGAGCACAAAAAAGCAACTATGTGGATATGACTTGGATTTAGATTAAGAACTAGGATTAAATTTCCATTCAGCCACATTATTCAGTGAATGACTTTAATTTGGATAGTTTTGTACACTGTACTAAATCATAGTACGCTTTGTTTAATTTCAGGCTTACATGACATGAGTCAGTCAACCTCTTACTGAGTGGATTGTTTTATGATGTTTCTGTATTTTTTGCCATTTTTAATAAAGGCCTGAACATTATTTCATGGTTTCTCCAAGGTTAGAAGTTTGAGAAAAGTTGCTCAGGGTGATATATTATTTCACTGACAATTGAATAAGGTTTCTTTGTGCAATAACCAAATACATTTAATTCTTCCATTGTTTGCTTACAAAGTCTGGGTCATTACCAATGATTAATTAGAGGGTAGCTAAATGACATAACTATATATTTATGGTTTTCAATCTCTCCTTCATGGAAGTACATAATAATTCAGGATACTAGTTTATGAATATTTCTAAATGCTACTTGACTCTATTTTATTAGCAAAAATATAACTCTTGACAGGGGTTGTAATTGCAAACAACATACAGACATGCATACACACACACATACATATATACATACATACATAGTGTTGGTACTTAGGGCTGGTATCAAATCCAAAAATACAAGACAAACATTAGAGTGCGTCATGAATTAGACCTTTATACCAAATCTCTTCATCACCAGCCATTTATTCTTTCAACTGGAGGTGAACCTGATACACCATGTATAGAATGCTAGTGGTTTACCATTAAATAAATTGTCAATCAACTAACCAGTTAAACTACTGGTAAATGTTGATAATTCATACTAAATGAAGATAAATAAATAATAATGATTGGGTCTTTACAGATCTTTTGCAGTTATTTTTGAAAACTCTTTAAAGCTGTACATGTTTCTCTTTTAGCACTGTTGTCTTTTTTAGCACTGTTTTAGCACATTATTACAAAATAATGAAAATCCCATTGGAGATGAATGGCACTGATATCCATGATCTAGAAAAAACTGGGTTGTTTCTCATGAAAGAGTCCTTTGAAGCCTTCCCAGGCATAACCTGATATTCCTAATAAAGCATTTGCTTGATGCTTCCTCAATGGAATGTCATTTGCTCTGATTAGAAGCAAGACACTGCCTAGACAGCCTGTCAGAGGTACCATCAGGGCTGGAACTTAAGACAGAGATCTAATGCTTTCTTCAAATAAATCAACAAAAAGACCTGCAATTGTAGATTCCTGAAAGTCTTGCATTTCAAGAAATGATAATTTATATCAATGTATGTTTTCTATCTGCATGGGACATACTTCATGTTCCCTATTATTACTTACTAATTACTAAGAGAATCTGTTTTTTAAAAATCTCATGACTGCAACAGCTTGCTCAAGAGTCTTTTTTGAAGGTCTTTGTTGCATGACAACAATTATGATTTTCATTCTATAGGCAGAAGCTGAGAAAGCTGAGTCTTCCTTTAAGAATCCTGGAATGGGTATTCATCTAAAGGAAGACAGTCTCATTAATTAGATGTAAGAGTTACACTATATATCTCCTAATTTGTCATCTGATAGACTGAGGAAAAAGTTAGGGGAACTGCCCCAATATTTCCCAGAACTTGCTTTGCATGGAAGGTACTTCAATCTGCCAAGCACATGGACATCCTCCATGACAGTAACTGCACTGAGGAGATGCTCACATTGGCAGAACATTGCCTAAGATTTAGGCCAATCCGACAGAAAAATTAGAAGTTGCATCATATGATGAATCCTTATTGATCAAAACAAATGCTTTGTGGTTTGGCTCTTCAACATTTCAGAACACAATTCTTCTAACAAAAAACAGAATAAAGACAGCGAGGTTATTTTGATAATTATGCAAGATTCCTAGTCCCTGACTAATTCTCACCTATTGCAATAAATAGGCAAAACATCACCCAGAATCATGTTTGATAAAAGTAGTCAATGTCTCCAAACATGTCAAGAAGAAGCCGCAGCTTAAGAGTGGAAAAATTAATCCACTTGAAGAAGAGTATCTAGCAAAGCTTCAGAGCAGTTCAAAAATATGTACATATATAGACACAAAAAAATTAAATACAAGAATTCATTCTTATCTGGTACAGCCTTTTTTCTTATAAATTATTTATCCTATTTAACTGTTTTGAAAATAGGTTTTTTTCAGAAAAACAAAAACTAAGCAAAACCAAAATGTCACTTTCAACTTCTTTTTGCTGAGAAGAAAACCCTTCACCTCTTTGTAGGGTTAAAGCTGTCAGCTCCTTCCTGATTTCATCCTGAGATACAGATTTGCTAGACTAAGACTTATCACGTCCATTCCATGGTGACATGGAAAAAACATTGGAACTTACTGGGAGAGTATCTGGGATGAATAGAGCCAGACTCTTATGTGTTCTGGTTCTATGCCTACACAGTCAGCACTTGAGAAATTAACTGTCCTTGCTGCTGTTCACATCGGTCATTCGTCCTCCATTTTTACCCTTACTTCTAAAGGCAATGTCTCATAAAGATTGCTCTCCACCACCAGACCACTACGCTTGAGGAGTTTGCATTGACCAATCTCCAAGGGTAGGGCGTCAAGTTGGTTTCCTTTCAGCTCTATCCTGGACAGCAAAGGAAGCCAGCTTATGCGATCTGAGATGCGCCGTAGTTTGTTGTGTTCTGCTTTGAGAACTTTGAGTTTCCTGCAGAAGTAAATTTCATTAGGCAACGTCTCCAAGCAATTGTGTGAAACAGCAAAATATTGAAGGCTTTGTAAAACTCCCATCCCAGAAGGGATGACCTGAATTTTATTGTAGGAAAGATCCAAATAATGTAGCCTAGTGCACATGAAGAGTTGAGAAGGGAGAGCTTCAATGTAATTATGGCTGAGGTCAAGTTGCTCCAAGGCCTTGAGTTTGCGGATATGTTCTGGGATGGTGAAAATCTGGTTGTGCCAAAGTTTGAGACATATCAGCTTTCGGCAATGCTGGAAACTAATGACTTCCTCAATAGAAATCAACTTATTATTCTTCAAGTCCAGCTCTTGCAAGTTCACAAGGCTAAAGATAGCATGGGGGATCCGTTCCAGGTTACAGTTTATCAGTTTTAGCTCCTGCAGTGAGAAAAGCTTCTTGAGATTGTTTAGGGCTACCAACTTAGTCCCATCATTATGTATCCTGAGTTTTTGCAGGTGAGTGGCCAGATCAGCCACACTGGGTGGCAGTTTTGAGAAGTTGCTGTGGAGTGTCAAAACCTTTAGGTTCTTTAGCTCACGCAAGCTTTCTAGAGTTCCTGTCCTGCCCATCTCCTGGTTGAAAAATCCTGAAATGTACAACTCTTCCAAACCTCTCAAGTTGTAGATCCACACAGGTATATCTTTGATGTCATCAAAATTTACCATCATCACCTTCAGCTGTTCACGGAAGAACTTAAGGGAGGTAAAGGACAGCATAGCAGGACAGTTGATCAGCACTAGCTCTTGGAGATTGATCAGTTGAGTTACTGAGACCGGGAAAGTAACATCTTGGAGCAATTCCAGTTTTAGAGCTTCCAACTCAATCATCTCAAAAGTAGTGTCGGGCAACCCAGGCAACATGAAGAGATGGAGTTCTAGGCGCCCACTAGGGTTTGTCTGCAGTTTCTGCTGCAACTTATCACGTGTCCACTCATGATTGAGGTTGAGCTGTTTAAGTTTGAACTCACTGTCCTCAGAGAGGAATACAGCAAAGCGCTTGGAGTAAAGGGAATCATACTGGTCTATGAGATGGAGCATGAAAGCAAAATCATTTTTAACATCAGGGATGTCCTTGATGCCAGTATCCTCACGAGCAAAGCGAAATGAGTACTCTTTAAGTGGCCGGTGAAAGAGCCAATAAAGAGTATAGAGGCAGGTCATACCATACACACCGAGGAAACAAAGGTAGCACATAGCCAGCTTAAAGAAGAGACAGGCTTTGGTATGATTGCAACAGAAATGGTCATAGCCTGTCATATCCTCCATTTTAACACTACAGGGCACGATGAACTTAATATTGTGAACCAGGACTGCATTGTAGACAATAATAACTAGAAATTTGCAAACTTTGAGAATAGTTTGGCGGATGTACATTGTGTAAAGGATGTCTCCTTTTTCGACATGGAGTCGGAACTTTTTCACCTTTTCAAACAAAGCCTTAGCTTCCTCGCCTTCCTTTTTTCCCAACATGCTACTGGAAGGGGACTCTAAAACTTTCTTTCCTGTAACAGAGCCTCCTGTAGGAGAAAGCTCAATGAGTTCACTGGGAACATTACTTTTCCTAATCTGATTCACCTTTCCTGAGCTTGTGTTCCCCTCTTCAGAAACTTCTGAGATGGTTCGAGTAGTCCAAGGTGAGTCAAAGCATTTGCTCATAATGGAGATAAAATGTTCAATCTTGGAACTGGTACCAGGAAATTTGAACCAGAAAGAGGCACACACCATGAACATCAGTGTATGGATAACAACAAGGTAAGGAAAGTACTTAGCATACCAATGAAGGGCTGTCTCATAGCACATCTGATTGATGTAGCTGTACTGTTGAAGGTCTAGGTTGTTCCGTAATCCACTCATTTCCTGGTGGACAGAAGACTTGATTGGTTCAGAGTTATTGATTGTCTTCTTGGTGAAATCTTCACAAGTTAAATCAGTAAAAGCTGTGCCACTGGGAACATGATTGGGAAGGCAGATAATCTTGTCATGTATCACCTGCCATAACATATAAGTGAGGAAAAGAAACATGATATATCAGAGTCCATATGATACAACAGTTTACATCACATAACAATGGTCTGGTAGATTCCCAGAGGAGTTGATTGGGAGTTGACCATTTCAAGGGGCAAGAGCTACAATTTTCTTTTAAAAAAAACCCAACAAAGAGAAAGGTAGCACAACAATAAGCTAATCTAGATCTTTAGCAATGGGCATTTCCCCAAATGTTACTTGCTGTGAAACACTGTCACAGTAATTATTCGATCCTTCAGGACATGTAGCCCAAACAGTACCCTAAAATATATTATTTTCTATTTTTTATGTACTGGGACGAGATGAATCCTGCAATAATCTGGGACTGGAACTCCTGGTGCAGCAAATGAGCATATATAACTCTTTGGCCAGTATTTCTTACTTTATGCCAGCAGTGTTTTAATAACCAATTGTGATTTGATGAATTCTAGGAACATATTACTAGGCTCCTTAATGGGGCTTCTTTCCAATGGACTTCTTACTAGAACATCAACTATGCAAGTTGAGCAGATATATGACAGATGCATAAGTCCCTTCATTGTTTCTGCTGCATCACCCAATATATGATACTATTTTTCTATATGCCTTTTTACTATACCATCTCTCACATTTTCTGTAGTGCTGAATTAGTTCAGTATATCCAACTTACACCATCTCTGATTTTCATACAGGTGATACATCTGTCAGTAAGGTATTGACTGATTGTGTGCCATTAAGTTGGTGTTTACTCTTAACCATATTGATAGACCAGCTCCAGAGTGCACCCAAATGCCACTGTAACCGAGCCCATTCCTGTTACTGCCAGTGGTCCTTTTTCTCTTTTCTTTTGCCTTTCTCACCATTTACTGTATAGACCATGATTTGAGCCTGGCCATTTAAAGTTTTGATTGAGAACCTTGGATTCATTTGTTCTTTCAGCTATTTGTTTGTTTTGATCAAGATAGTGAGGGAAAGGGAGAGGAATTAGTAGATATGCTTGACTCATTTGTTATATGTAAATAATTCATGGGAGTGTGTGTATGCGTATGCATGTAGGCTTCTGATCCTGTTGCAATATAAGAAGTCACTAGGGAAGAAAATATTGCCCAACATGTTTCTATATGATTTCTAATCTCCCTAGACTGAAAAAAAAAATTACCCTTTCCCAGGATCAAATCATAAATCCATCCCAGTACATGTAATCAACTTCCAAAGCCCTTTCTGTCATAAATATTCCGTTCTGCAATTTCAGTCAGTGACTCCATGATCTTGTTTTGGAATGGTATAGTCTGCTTCCATACTCACTCACTTGCAGAGTGCAGCCAAAAACGCCTATCATCAGCATGACTATTGTGATGTACTCAGCTAACACATCCCACCAAGGCTTGAGAACTTTGAAAGCAGGCTGCTGGTCTGTGAAATGCTTGAATTCAGCAACTGGAATCATACTGCCTGCCATAAAAAAAGACAAGAAGTTAGAATGGTCTCCGTTTCAGGAATGCTAAGTTGAATCCGAAGTTAATTCATAGCTTGATGCAGGAGCTATAATCATCTCTTCTTGTACACCTGAGGCATTCTGGGACATGTAAATTATCTGTGGATTTAAGGCTGTTACTCAAGCATGCACAAAAAGGAAGCTGCTCTAGATCTTTTTCCTATCTGTTAATCTGGATATAAAAACAAGCCAATGAAAGGTCTGTCATTTGACACTTATCCGTTATTCCCACAAGCATTTATTCCTATTAAAAGCCCTAATGAAGTTTCAATACACATGATCCTCACATCTAGGAATGAGTAGAATAGCCTTCGCTAATCTGCCATTTTAGGCCATTCTGACTGAACTATAATTCAGCATTTTTGGAAGCCATGTTTGGAGATAGTGGGAGAATATGATCCAAAGCTTCAAAAGAGCAGGAAAGCCCTAGCTTTCAACTACCATTAGAGCAAAGCTCCTTATAGATATATGCCAGTTTTAATATATTTTATATGTTGATGTATTTTATATAACATTTTAATATATTTTAATGTTTTAAAATTCTTTATATTTTAATATGTTGAATGATAAAATACAGGAAACCAAATATTACAATTCCTAATTCTGAAGTTAACACTAAATGAAAAAACTCCTTGAGTGATGTTACAGTTAATCACATCTAGTTTAGAGTTAATACCTTGGTGAACTGCTTTGGGACCTTATATACCTAGCCTTGAGTTCCATAGTGGAAAAAAGGCAGGATATAAATACATCATTTTTAAAAATTCAGTGTTTCCTGTAAACCCTGAAAATCTCAGAATGGTAGTCAGGTTTCAGAAAATTCTCAGTGCCAGGCAATGATCAAATGTTTTGTTTGAGAATATCTCTGTACATCCAGGATCACATTTCAGGGGTGGAATTGTCAACCTTATAAGATACTATTGTTGTTGTTTAGTTTAATATCCCACCTTTTATTCAGGAGCTTAAGGTAGTACAAATAGAGTTTCCTTTTCCTCTTCCTCTTCCTTTCCCCCCCAAACCAGGCAAGATAAGCTGGAGGATGTCCACAGATAACACACACTGAGAAGGACGCCAAACTCAGAGAGGAACTATAAACTAGAGATATTTATATGATTTGTTTCCAGCGTTTGCCAGTATGCAGATCCAAACTCTTATTCAGTTGTCACACCTGCAGCCCATGAAGAGGATCAAGACCCTCACCTCCCGAGGAGACCATGTCTCTCCCTTATCCTCTCCTCCCTGAGTGCCCTAGTATGGATAGGGGATGGGCCTGGGTCCCCCTCTGACTGCTCAGCTGGCTTCTGCCCTTCCTCAGCCTCCTCCACAACCTCCGGAGCCACACTTCCACTCCCTGTCGGCTGTTCCTCCTCTCCCTGAGAGTCAGTCTTCACCAGGGGCATGGCATAGGGAGTTTTCCAAAATTAAGGAAGGACTTGAATCTGTGTCCCTCCAGTCCTAGTCCAACATATTGAAGGAAGAGAATATTATATATAACAATGGTTGCTGTAGCTACTTTTGATACTGCCTCAGCTGATCCAAGGTTTTCAACAGCTAAATGTGCATGTGTTCATTCCAACCGTCTTTCTTGGTAACAAAAGAACCAGTCACTCACTTAACTATGATAGTAGCCATTGTGAAAACGGGGTTGATTTCTAGTCATCAGCTGAAAATCAAGCCCTTGGATACATTATTGCAGAAATGATTTTATTTTCTTATAACCTATGCCAAGTTCTGTCATCATCTTTCTCTTTAGCTTAAGATGGAAAGGCAATAGGACCAAGTCAGGCATTATATGGATAACTGGACAACAGCCCAAAAGAATTACACTTGTAACCTTTTAGCTGCATTCTTGCCTATAGTGTATCTTCTGTCAATATAGAATGGGGTGTTTTTTTTCAGATTCTGGGGTTGCTATAGTAACTATGCTCCCATTACACTGGCCTGGTCAGAAATATACCAAATAATATGTATGCCCAGAAATATGGGCACTTAATATCATCATGACGTCATGCTCATGTGCATTAGTTGACACCTACAATACTAAAATACTGAAACAATTCCCATACGAGTTTTAGAAAAATAGAAAAGCACATTCCAGTGTGTAAGAGAGAAGTGATACTGATATAAACTCAAATGCTGTGGCTTCATCTTATGGACTAGTATTTTTTTATTTATGACAGAGGGGATTAGTCTGATCAAAAGTGATGGAGAAACACACAAAAATAGATTGATTGTAATAGATTTTTTTTAATCCCTTGAGCTTTTTCTCTTATTATATAGGTCTTTCCATTATCTCTTTTGTTTTTCAAGAATCATAGAATTTGCTTTCCTTAGTTAGTTACTAGGTACAGTAAGTGAGGGTTACCTAAACGTATTACTCACTATAGAGAGTGTATATTACTTGTGTTATTCTCTTGGAAAATTTCCTTTCCCATTGTGTTGAAATGGCACCTTTCCATTTCAGAAGACTTCCAGAAAGCTTAGCTGTCAACTTATCTCCTCTAGATCTCCTAATACACCAGGAAAGAAATTTAAAATATTAACACTGTCAGAATCTTCTTATTGGAGCAACCTATCAATCTAAATAAGCAAATAACTTTGTAAATGAATATAAATATTTTTCTATTCTAATTTGCTTTGCTTTCCCTTAAAGATATGGAAGCCAAGAATCTTATCTCCCATCTCATACTTCTAAATGACATCCACTTAGTTCCCAGAGAGGCTTTATTTCCTTTTCCCATTTTTTTAATGTAACCTCTTTTATATAAAAGCACATCTGACTTTTGAAACTGAACAAGATAAATGAAAATATGGTCAAACAAAAATGGCATCTTTCTGTTCCTTCTTCACTAAAGCACATTGTTTTTCTTCTTTTGAAAGGAGGGTGGATTATTTTTAAAGAAACACTTAATAGTATTTGCTACACTGTAATTTCCCCAGAGAACTTCAATTACTGTACAATATTTATTTAGGAAATTTATAGAGCCACTGACTAGATTACAACAGTATTGGACTGATTAGAAATGTAATAAGCGTGTTAAAAAATAAATCATTAGCTACTACAAAATTTTCTCCCAAGCAAATTTTGCCTATCAAATCCAAAAGTGAATTCTGAGATTCAGAAGAATTTAGTGAGGTTTGAGAGGCAGGGGTGAGAGACAGAGAGAGAGAGAGAGAGCTGTTGCTCCAGTTGGCTCTTCAAAACACAAACCATAAATGATTTATAAAGTAGCTTTATAAAAACGCTTTATAAATCGAAAGTATCGTGGCCTCCAGTTTCTCCTTACTGTTGAGAGGTTCCTGTTGATATCTGAAAGTCAAGTTTCTTATATCACACAGAACTGGACTTCTGGTGCATTCAAGTGCTGATAACCTAGGTCGAATAAGCAAGCTCAGTTTCTTATTTGTGAGAGGTAAAAAAAAAAAAAAGAGGAAAGCCTTGGTGGCGCAGTGGTTAGAGTGCAGTACTGCAGGCTACTTCTGCTGACTGTCGGCTGTCTACAATTTGGCAGTTTGAATCTCACCAGGCTCAAGGTTGACTCAGCCTTCCATCCTTTTGAAGTGGGTAAAATGAGGACCCAAAATTGTTGGGGGCAATATGTTGACCCTGTAAACCGCTTAGAGAGGGCTGTAAAGCACTATAAAACGATATATAAGTGCTATTCCCTAAATTTCCATTTTTGGCAGGATGGGTGGGTCTGCAAAAGTACAAATATTCCACTACAATTCCACCTTAATAAGACAGGTCATGCAAAGTCCCATAGATTCACTGGTAGAAAGTATATTTTGAAGCTGGAACCTAAAAATGTTTTGCATTTTATTCAGCACCTTCCTGGCATGTAGAAAAAGCTTGTACAACAATGGTCCCTGAAGAGATATTAAAATCAGAGAATTGTTCCTGAAAGAAAACAATGTATTTTTTTAAAAAACGCGCTAAAAATCATTGTTTGTAAGGTGTGACGTCCTGTAGCACATGTTAATTATGTTCCATGGGGACAGGTTCTACAATTTTACCTTACATTTAAGCATACATCACTACGTAACTAGAGATTATACTGCAACCTGCTAAAGAGATTTTACAGTGATCTGCAGGCATCTTGAGGTGAGGTAACTGCATAGCCATAAAATAACCACAAAAGTTGGTTTTGCACAGTGATTCAGAACTTAGAAGTGAGCCATGAAGTATTGATGCCAAACAAGGTGATAAAATCAAACAAAGATTGATTGTCAATATTGAGCAAATAGGTTTCAAAATGACAAACACAGTTCATAATGACAAATGCAACTTCAGTTCAGTGTAAAATGATGCATTTTTTAAGCCCAAACTCTAACTGTACATAAATAGGATTTCAGTGGGCAAATGACTAACCAGGCATAGGACTTTATAAACACAAAGATAATTAAGGTTGCAGGTTCAGTAAAAAGCCTAGACATTGCATCCTTTTTCTCTCTGTCTTTTAGATGGAATCAGGGTCAAACTAAGTTCCTTTCTTTGCCTGGCCCTAATCCTATCAAAACCAGATTGGCCCATGGGCAGCCTTTACAAGGAAATTGCAACAAAGACAAACCCGAGTCTTCCATTCTTAATCAGTCTGATTACATCAACATTCCACCTCCTTTAAACAATGGACTTTCTCAGTTCAGGTTGCCCCCCTGAAAAGCCCCTTCTGCCTAAAAATGGAAGTAATCTCAAGTAAACTAACAAGGACCTGCCTAACTTCCCCAAACTGGCCAGCAAATCCAATCTCTATAATTCGGCTTTGTAGTCTTCAAATTATATTTTAAAAAGCTTTGCTATTTTGCAATGCAGTTCAGGGTCAAAGAAGGAAATTTCTCCACCCGGCTTAAGAAATATGTGGAATTTGCTGCTAAAAGGTGTGGTCATGGCAGCCAATTTGAGTGGTTTTCAAAAAGACTTGACAGGTTTATGGAGAATCAAGCTAACAATCACATCAAGTGTTTACCACCCCTTGAATCATAGGCAGCAGGTCTGAAACACTGGCTGCTGGACGCATCAACAGAAGAAGTCTATTACCCTTCAATCCAGACTTGTGAATTTCCTCTATGCATCTAGATGTCCACTGTGAGCAAGTGTCCCTAAGGTGATCAATTCTATTCCCTTTAGTTTACTCAGGCTGGAATAGCATATTCCTAACACAGTGTTTCTCAACACTGGAAACTTTTAAGTTGTGTGGCCTTCAAGTCTCAGCATTCCTCTGTCAGCACGGTGGCTGGGGAACTTGCAAGTTGAAATCCACACATTTTAAAGTTATCACCTTGAGAAACACTGGCCTAAGATAATTTCCAGATAAGTCTGGTAGCTTGTTGTAGCGCCAGCTACAATAGCAATATTGTTGATAAAACCATTAGCCTGAAGTACGTCCCCTTTTCTCCTGACTGGAGAATTCCAGGGGTTGTAATAGTTCTGAAACTTCCTGGATGGACAGAGAGTAGCAGAAGTGCATGTAGGCCAGGGAATTCTGGGAGATGGAAGTCCATACAACTTAAAAGTTGCCATCATTGAAAAACACTGGCTTAGGGTATACCAATTCCAATCTGACTTAACTGAAGAGAGAACATATTACCGGGATAGCAATTCACCACCTGGCTTACAACTGATTGAAATCAGCATTTTCAAGTTCCATCTAATTGGATTCTCTACCTTCCTCGCCCACCAATTTAATTATACAAGGGGGGGGGGGTTTAGCAGCACAACTCCTTACAATACCCTTCCAAGCACGAGCTTGTTGAGAGTCCTCCCAGTAGAACTCTGGAGTTCTGGGCCCAAAAGGGACTTTCATGGGAAGACTGGAAGCTCTTGTTGGCCTTGTTTGCCCTCACCCGGGCGGGGCCACTGCCTGGTGCCTGAAACTGATTAGGAGCGGCTCCTGTCTTTTGCTTTCTTTTATTTATTTTTATTTGTCAATTGCTTACAAGATAATAGGTATAAGTAAAAACATAGTTATGAATACATGGATACATATAAGAAAAATAAAAATAAATAAAAATATAAAAGAAACAATAGGACAGGGACGGTAGGTACAGTAGGTGTCTTCAGCAGTTTTGTCCCCCGAAACTGAAGGCCCCAGAAGTCTCCCGCCTTCCCCTCCAGCCCTCCTCCTCCGACAAGACAGACGTGCTCGGCGGTGGAGGGGAGGTGGCCTCTGACCCTGAGGAATCAAGGACGCTTCAGGAGTCTGCAAAGCTGAAATACAGCCATCCCGCTTTGTGGAGGGGAAAAAAAATGCCTTCCTGCTTGGTTCATTCTTCCTACCGCGGCGGGATGTTTTGGGGACCGAACTGGCAAAGAAGCGGGAAGCCACTTGGCGCGGGACGAGTTTGGTCCAACTTAGCCAGCTCTCCTGGGTCAATCCCCCCCTTTCCCGCTTCCCTACTCGGAGGTGGGAAACGGAGGCGCCGGGGTACGCTTTTTTCCCCCCCTAACCGCCTCTACTACTTCCCGGTACTTTTTTCCATATTCATACCACCCCTCGTCTTCTCCCTCCCTCCCGACGCCAGCCTGCCTTCTCCAAGTCGCCGCTGCCCTTCGGCCGCGTGGGGTTTGCACTTGCATCGCTTCCAGCGAGAGCAGAGTTGAGGGCACCCTACTGAGGAGATTATGGCACGCGGTATCCCAACCACTTGCCTGTGGTCGGTGGTCTTTGGTCCTGATCCGGCTCTCCTGCTGTGGCCACCTGCTCTGGACGGCCGTGCCCCGCCTTCGCCGCTGCTTTCCCCGGCGGCAGAGTCGCCTTGTGCAAGCCGCCGCCGCCGCCGCCGCCTCCTCTACGCCCGCCTCCAGTGGAGCGCCTCTTCCTCCCCAGGCGCTTGGCGATCCCGCCTCTCTCCCCATTGCTCTAACTAAAGTGACTTTTGGGAGGGAGGCGACCTACTGTAAGGCGCTGCCGCCGTGGAGCAACTGGGAGGAAGCCGCCCGACAACCCACGCAAGTAACGAGGAACAACCTGGGACGGGCTGCCAGCCGGGAACCACCCTAGGGAAGGGCTTCTCCGGCCCGGCCCAGGCTGGAACTCTTTCCCTGGGCACTTGGTGGCAGAGGAGCAGATGAAGGATAGTGGTGGCGTCCTCTGCCTTGTGTACCAAGCGGGGCCAGTAAGTCCAAATATGAGGGAGAAGTCTTCCATCTCTTTTACCGTCCAAGCAGAAGCAGCATCTCCACCTACTGGGAACAGGTGGTTATAGGAGAGCCCTGTTTGCCTATCCCAGGAGTCTGGTAGCATCATCTTTTCCAACTAACAAATTGATAAAGTCAGTCGTAGCTGGTATTATACTTTTATACAAACGTGATACTCATCAGAAACAAGGCTGCCACACTCCTTCTGATTTTTGACCACTAATGATATAAAGGTGTCAAAACATCGCATGCTCAGAGGCATCCTAAGGAAGTAGGGTGAGTTAGCTGGAATCTCTGCACTTGGTTCCTGGGCATTGTTCTCATGACAGCTTTATGGCTGGTACCAAATCACCTGAATGCTGTAAATCCAAGCAAACGTTGTGGGCGTATCCAGATGTAGTAACACAGTGAAATAAATATGCAGAATTCCTCTGCTCACACAAGCATGTAAGGTGTTCTTGTTACTGGGTGACTGATTCTGGGGTATGTAAAGCACAAGTTTACAATTGGCACAAAAAGTAGTATGTCTGGAATTATTTTAAACTTACCTCTCTGACGTTTAGCCTGTGGGAAATGATACTGTATAGAGAGGATCCATTACTTGATGCTTCGATACCAGACAATAAACTTTCCCTGGATTCTTATCTGACTATTGGAACTAGATGTATAATTATCTAGCAGTGCCTTTATATGGGCTGAATCCAATAAAATAGAGGTGGTTCATAGAATCTTATGCAGCTCTCAAAACTCCCTTTCAGCTGAGAAATATAGGAAAACAGTAGCTTTGATTTATCATCGCTAAAAAAAATTGAAACGAGCCCATACTTAGTCATGCTTGCATTTTTAATTGGCTCCTTCTGTTTGCACTGTCAACCTCCTCCCATTGTTAAGTGCACCCTTGGTCTCCTGCGTTGGCAGTAGAAAATTAAATAGGTGCATACTTAGCTTTACCAGCTACAATCACTAACTTATGTAACCTGTAATAATGATTTTTTTAAAAAACCGAGAACTTACTGGACTTTTTCTAATGTTTCATTTCATGTAGTGCTTAATGTAAAATATTAACATGAGCACTGTTGAGAAATAAGCCTGCTTAAATTGGAAGTTAAGCTCATTGACTCAAAGGCTTTCTCTTTCAAATATATATGATTGGACTCACATTACTCAGAGGTGATAACGCCCAGTTAGCTGAAATATTCATGGCAGGGAAATCCCTGTATAGTCCTTGTCATCTTATCCAGGGTAGTTCCCAAAGTTAAGCATCATAGGGATGATGGATAAAATATGGGTAGCAATGTTTACATTGTGTATGTGTTGCCTCATGGCAAGATGAACAACAAAAAGTTAATAAATAGTAATGTGTGTTTGTATATATTTACCTTCACTAAGTTTTCACAAGTTTTAATATGGATCTGTCACAGGAATAAAGATCAACTCTGCCAAATGGGGCACTTCTGGCAATTTCCATATCAAGTCTGTTATAAATGCAACAAACTAGTAGATGAACAAATATATGATCTCTCCTTCATGCACACATACATTTTACATCAAAATAAAATATAAAAATAACTAAAAATAATGAATTAAAAGGAAAAAAAACCCACAAAGGGCAAATTCGATGGACCACTAGGTTTTTTTCTGCTGTCAGTTTTCTAAGTTTCTATAAGGAAAAAAAATCTCACATGCAAAGTTGCCATCGCTTTTATAACTGCCAACCAAAATGTTACAAAAGCATGCATGGTTTCAGATTGGGTGATATTTTTATGCATAATGAGTGTGACCAAAGACCCTTTTTTAAATTAGGAGATTATGCCACAGAGAACACCTTTACCATGCAGATGTGGACATTATCCAGCAAAAGCGGTGCTGTGCATTTTGGTGCTAGGCTAAAACAAGCTTTGCTTATCTCAATGGTTAGGGTGTAACCAAACAGGCATTGCTGGCATGCAATTAAGACTTGGGGTCAGGAGATCAAAGGCACTTTCTTTTGAAGTGTGGTACATTTTTCAGTACATAGAACAGACAGCCATCAGTGGTGCCACATCTGTAAGCCTTGTCAAGATTGTTCGCCTTTTAAAGCTAACCTCCTGAAATCCTTCTAGAATTTTGATTTCCAACTGGAGGACTTACGAGGCATTTCTGTTTCAAGACAAATCCCACTCCCCCCATGGCATTCATAAGAACTGAGACTACTTTGGGAGGCTGCTCGTGACTCTGGCTACCCAGATACCATTTAGTGTTGCTGAAATGCAGTTGCCTCTGGGATGAGGTATTGCGCAACCTCCTTGCAGACTTTATTTATTTATTTATTTGTCAAGTGATTATAAGATAACAGGTATAAGTATAAACATAGTTATGAATACATGAAATGGATACATATAAGAAAAATAAAAAAGAAACAATAGGACAGGGACGGTAGGCGCGTTGGGGTGCTTATGCATGCCCCCTACAGGCCTCTTTGGAAGTGGGTGAGGTCAATAGTAAACAGTCTAAGGTTAAAGTTTTGGGGGTTTGGGGAAGAAACCACAGAGTCAGGTAGAGTATTCCAGACATTGACTACTCTGTTGCTGAAGTCGTATTTCCTGCAATCAAGTTTGGTGCAGTTTTCCTTGAGTTTGTATCTATTGTTTGCCCTTGTATTGTTATGGTTGAAGCTGAAGTATTCATTGACAGGGGCAAAGGCAAGTTAAAATGACTCCCTCTACAGTCATTATACTGCATAAAATGTTTGTGGCATGCTTGCATAGGCGAATCCTGGGCTAAACTCTGCACTGGGTGACTGAAGGCAAGTGACCTATAAAAAGCCCTTATTATGTTCTCAAGAAAACTGATCGTTAGTTCTCTGAATGGACTCAAAGCCTTTCATTGACTTGGTGAAATTCAACCAACCCAGACTTACTTCTCTAAACAAACATGCTCAGGTTGTCCATGGTGTTTTTTGCAGTTTTTCCAGTCGAAACAGACCATTTCTTCTTGTCAGAAATATGTGTGTGGGCCTGGGAGCAGGGCTTGGTGATGTTGCCAACTTTCTCCCCCCACCCCAAGGACTGAAACAGTAGAGCTGTGTGTCGGGACCCATGACCCAGAATCTGGAAGCAACCAAGGAATGAAAATAACCTGATATCCAAACTAAATGGCTGATAAATGTGAAATGTTGCTACTGGTTCCTTGTTTCTTTTATAACCTTTGTGTGGCTTAAGTATTACTTTACCTGGCATTTCATGCTGACAAGGAAAACAATCCAGCATTTGGCAAATTGACAGATATAAATTTATACAGTGAACTGAAATACACAACCTCCATGTTTATTCAAATTCAAGTTCCGATTCTGTCCCTGCACATTTACTCAGAAGTAGGTCTCCTTAGTTTAAGTGAAGTTTACTCCCATGTAAATGTTCATAGTATTGCAGCCTGAGCTCAGTGTTTGTTTATTGTCCACTCGATCAAGAGCAGATGAAATAAACCAGATTAGAGGTTTAAGAATGCAGTTCTGTGCAAGTATAAGATGCCCCTGTGTTTTGATTTGGTTGATGAGAAGCCCTCCCCTTACCAATATTGACAAATTGGTTGCATGTTTAGATGTCTGACCAGAGCTAAGCTTCTTCTCCAAGGTGCGTCTCAAACATTCTTCCTGGTTCATAGTAGCAACTTACTCAGAAATACTTATAATCACTGTGTTCAGTGATGCTTCTTCGTTTAGGAAGTAGGTTTTGAATTGGAGCCTTTGTCTTAATTTCAAGTGAAACTGGCATTCCTTCAACAGAAAATGTTAGAAAACAGGTAGAAAAGAGAAAACAGGTAGAAAACAGTGGTATTCCTCAGACCAGCCCTTCTAAGAGGCCTGAGGCAGAATGTTAATTTGAGACCAGCCCAAGTTTCTTCAGACTGTCACACATATTTCTATTACCATTTTTTTTAATCAATTGAAGTCAATGGTCCTGCAAACAGAAGTACTAAAGATTGCAAATGCAGGTTATTGAAGTAACTCCTGAGGATATGTTTTAGCTGCCCTGAATGAAAAGATCCATCTAGTCACATTGAATAATGAGCCATGGTGGCATCTCCTCCACATATGGATTCTAAGGCAATTTTCCCTACTGCTGCCCCAACCTATTCCAAGGTAAAATCTGAGTGCAGCTGACAACATCCTCTCTCTACAAGACAGAGTTTAAAGGGCAGCCTTCTGACCAGGATTAATATTTAAAGCAGAGTTGTCGCAAAGGTGCTTTTTCAAAAGGCAACTGGACTTTCTTTGTTTTTGCTGGAAGACGTTTTGTTTCTCATCCAAGAAGCTCCTTCAGTTCTGTGTATGACTCAGAACCTCCACAGACATTTAAAGTAGAGAAAAGTAACTTCAGCTTGCAAGTTATATCTGGCCCATCGGGTTTTATATCTGTTCCTCTTCCTCCTTCTCTTCTACCATTCTGAAAGGAAAGATGAAAGAGAAGGAAACCCCCAAAGGAGTGTTTTTTTGGGGATCTTGAAGCAGCAGCAGCAACATTTGCCTGTTTCCCACTTTCCCTAAGAGGTGAGGGGTGGATGCAGCCAGCCCCTGGGAAATTCAATCAAGGATTTCCTGGAAACATTACTTTCTCCTGTGTTATTCCTCAGAAAGGCAGAGAAGGTGTTGA